CTGTTTAACAACCTGTTAAAATACTCCAGAATGCAGGAAATGGTATTTACTTCTTTAAAAATTTTCTGGGTGAGGACCCCCAGACCCCCCACCAGTGGGTCCCCCCAACATTACAAATACTTACTCTTGTTTTTTGTCTCTGAATGTTATAAAATCAGTGATTTTATCTGTGAAATTACAAACTGATCATACATTTTCTGTTATAGATATTAGTTTTGGTGGGCCACCCCTGGTTTTACAGTGGTCCCCCCCATGGCCCCCCCTGAACATCTTTTCTGCAGGCGCCACTGGATGCATGAAGGAAGACACTTTCTCCTGCCGTAAAGCTTTCAGTTTCCCGCCTTTTTTCTGCTTCAGCAGACTGGATATGATGCAGATCAGGGCTTTTCTGTCTCACTTCACAAWCCCACTGTGGGGACCACTTTATGTAAGGGCACAGATGGACCCTTGACGCTGCTGAAAACCAGAGACCTCCTGAATGAAGGCGTCCCCCCGTCTGTTCCTGATGTTCTCTCTGCTTCCAGCCCCTCGTCATGTTGTTCTGCAGGAAAACACAGTTTTATTTCAGCAGGTTGTTCTCACACAGTCCTGCTGAACACGGAGATTAGAAAAGAAAGAAATGAGCTCTTTTGTTTGTGCAGAAAACACATTCAGACCGATCCAGCTGGTTCCAGAGCCTAAAGGCTGCAGATCCTGGGGGAGCCGTTCTCAGCTCAGCTCTGATGATGTTGGAGGAAGATTTTGTGGACCCCCCCCCCCCCCTGTGAACAGACAGCTCTCTGCTGTGTTCAGCAGATGCAAAGATATCAAACTGAAAACTCTGCTGTCTGCAGCCTTTTGAACCTACACTCTGTTTTCTGTTTCTGTTGTTGTGCTGCCACGTTTACCTTTCTACAGCTGGAGACAAACCATCAGTAATCCTCACTTTGTCCTCCAGGGACAACTGAAGCCCACAGGACACATGTGGACACGTGGACATAAATGTTCTGCAAACCAGCTGCATGCTGGGTAAAAACCATGCTTCAGTTCACTTCTTCTGTCGTGTTCTTCCTCAACACATGATGATGACATCATATGATGTGTGACATCATCACGTCTGAGCTCTTCTAGAGGTCAGCTGAGGACAGAAGAACGTTGTGCTGCCAGTGAGACCACCCTGCTGCAGCTGCACCAGTTCAGGTGAAACATGCAGCAGGTGTGTGATGTTTGCTGCTCRTGGTAACACAACGTTTTTACGTTCAGACTCTGAAGCAGCAGGAGCAGCTCTGTGGTCCTGAGAACATGAGCTGAGAAGGTTTCCATGCAGCACTGAGCTGATTACAATTTCCTCCTGTCATCCTTCTGTTTCTCTCCATCCACCCACATTCTTTGGCCTCGTAACACACACACACACACACACACACACACACACACACACACACAC